CTTTGGTTCCTTTCCCACATTTTCTCTACTTTTCCTCATGAATCATTCTTCCTTCCTATCCTTCAAGTGTCCATAGCTTCAAGGTAAGAGTTTAAAACTTTTTCTTGGTTCATTTTTGTTTTTAATTCTCTTGCAACATCGTTTTTAAAGAATCTGTTGAATTATGTTTCAATATAACAAATTTAAAGACAAAATGATTTTGGACTTTAATTGAATTTATTCAAAGTTTTAAAAAGGTTTCAAAAATAATTAAAAGTTCATTTAATTTGGATTTGAGCACAAAAATGTTTTATGAATAGTAATGAACAATAATGAATAATATCGATGCTAAAAAACATCGAACGTAAATAGTGTACCGATGCACTGTTACAGTGTGTCGACACACCCATTGTTCACGCAGCCCAGCGGTCATAAAATTTGAATTTAATGAAGGGGTATCGATACACCTTGATAGTGTACTGATATACTCTGTTTTAGGCAGCCTATTTTTGTAGAAAAATAATCTCAAAACGGCTCCAAAACATCCCCAACGGTTATATACGACTTCAAACTCATTTCAAGCTATAAATACAAGCTGAGGACACTTGAAGAAGTAAGAGAACAACTATTCAAGAAATCAAACACAAGAGAAGATCTTTTTATTCTTATTTCATCTTTTTCTTGTAAATATTTTGTTCTTGTGAGCTTAATTCTTGTAAACACCTACCTTTGAGAGATGTATTTGTTTACTTCTTTTATCCATCCTTTTGCAAAGGGGAATGGTTTTAGCTTAGCCAGTGTAAAAGTTAGGGAAATGTTTTAGTTTATCCCGTGAAAAACTAGGGAGTTGTAAATGTTATCTCTTTGTACTTAAAAAGAAAGAACAAATTAGTGAATTTGTTGGAAAATTCTTGGTGAGGAGCTAAGGTAGTGGATGTAGACTCGGTTGAGAAGTCGAACCACTATAAACCGTTGTGTAATTCTCTATCTTTCAATCTCCTTACTCCCTAAACACAAAAATTGTTCCAACCCCTCTTTGTAAACCGTTCTGATTGTCGATTCGAGCTTCTGAAAATCACAACAGAATCAAAGTGTTGGGTTGATCCTAGTTAAGAAAAGAGGAGGTTTTCACCCTAAGAATCAAGAAAAGGATTTTGGGCTAAGCAAGGAGCTTCAATTAGGGATCTTACTGTAAGGTGGTGTATCTTTAATCCTTTGTACTATCAAGCTTTCATAATAAGATTTGGATTCTTAACCATTTTAGGATCTAAGTTTGATATAAAGATCAAATCATGTTTTAGAAGTTTAAAATATGTTTCTAAGCTTCCTTAAGACCCTAAACAAATTACCAAAGTTTTAGAATAAGTTTAGAACTCAAACAAAGTCCTTTAGGGTGAATTTGGAGAGTTTTTCGAGCTTAAAATACCTATTTTTGAGGTTGAGTATCGATACTGGATCAATAGTATCGATACTATATGAATCAGAACCAAAATCTAGGACTTTCAATTGGAAGTATTGAAAATGCTTAGAGGAGTATCGAAACTGGACCTTAATTTCGAAGACATAATGCATTTTTGGTACCGATACTCATAGGAGTATCGATACTTGACCCTAAAGTATCGATACTACTTATTTTGGATGGTCAACTTTGAATCGTTTAAGGTCTGTAAGAGCTAAGGATGAGTCGTAACAATAAGAATTAGTCCGGAAGGGACATGAATGACTAAGGATACCCATAATCCCTCATAGAAGTGGGTTAGAACTTGTGTAACCATATTAAGTGTGTTACGCCGGAACACCTATAGAAGAGGATATATACGAATTGTTGAGGATGTGGATTGTTGCAAAGGATATATCGATAAGTGGTACAAGGATTAAGTCAGAGTCAATAGTAACGAAAAATGTAATTTTGGAGAACATCAGTGAACCCAAGAAAGGTAAGCCATACTTTTCAGTTCAAGGGGTCTTGAAAGGAAGTTCGATAAGGGAGACTAGAGGGATACTACTAAAAGTTGCTTGAGTTAAGTATTGGATTATCCCGTGTTAAATACAGAGAACAGCGAACCTAAAAATCGTCATAAAACCCTGAAACAAACAGAGACTCCACTAAAACTAGAGAATGATTAGTATACCCCTAAGTATAGAACAACTAGTTTATAACCTCACAATAACTAACATTAGTAGTAGAATATCAAACCCCAACATAACACACTATATAGAAAACGAGCGATATAATATAAAGAGAGAGCAATCTTACCCTAGTTAGTACAGTTGTACTCTAATTCACCTAGGTTACCTTAATTGTACTAGTAGGGCAGTGTCAGTGCACGAGGCACTTTAGGAGCTAGCTAGGGTGCAAGGCCCGAACACTCGCAAAGAGCGAGTTAGCATATTTAATGTTGTATGACATTTGAGCCTTAGGTATGCATATAGAGTTGCATCAGTTCAGTATCTTTGCTATTAGAAAATCTTGGCTTGATGTTGTGTGATACCAAGCCAATTCTTTAGATCAATGAGAATTTCCGATGCTGTGTGATACTGTGATTCCTTTTTGTTGGGATTCTATGATGAAGCTCAAATGAACAACCGAATGAATTGCCAAAAGGGGGTGAATTGGCTTTTTAAGATTAGGGAGTAAGGAGAATAGAGAAGAGACAATTTGCAAAAGGATTTACAGTGGTCCAACTTCTCAACCAAGTCTACATCCACTACCTTAACTCCCCACTAAGGATTTTCTAACAAATTCACTAATTTGTTCTTTATTTTTTCAGGATAAAGAGATAACCTTTATAATTCCCTAGCTTTTCAAAGGTTAAGCTAGAACCAATCCTCTTTACAAAATGAATAAGATGTAAACAAGAAAAACCTTTCAAAATGAAGGTGTTTACAAAGGTTTAAGCTCACAAAAGCAAAATCTAAGGATATACAATTAAGCTCAAAACACAAATATTTACAAGAGAAATAAAATAAAGATTGAAAAACTTTTCTCTTGTGTATGAATGCTTGGATAGATGTTGGTAACCTTCTTCAAGTGTCTTAAACTTGTTTTTATAAGTTGGAATGAGTTTGTGGTCGTTTCTAACCGTTGGGGATTAATTTTCTGTAAAATAAAACTGCACAGGACAGGGAGTATCGTTACTCTTTTAATGAGTATTGGTACTACCTTTGTAATATTTAAATAAACTAGCCGTTAAAGACCGTTGGGCTTGACCAGTATCGATATTATGTTTTATGGTATCGAGACTAGTGTGTAAAGTAGTATCAATACCCTTTGAGTATCGGTACCTATTTTGCATTCTAGAATTTGAGCAATTTGGAAAACAACTGGTAGTTTCGATACTACATAGAGAGTATCGATACTTCGCTTACCTTTGGTATCAGTACCACATGAACAGTATCGGTACTACGTATCTAGAAAAATAATTTTGTGCTCAAATTCTAGTTTAATGGACTTTGAATTATTTTTGAAAATTTTAAACAAATTCAATCAAGTCCAAAAACATTTTGCCTTAATTTGTTATATCAAAACATTATAAAACATAATTCAACACTTCTCGATGATCTTCCTGACGTTGTGTAATACCAGGAGGTCATCCAGTAGTTAGAGGGCCCTGCCGACATTGTGTGATATCAGTACCCCCTCTCAGTAGGCTAGTATCTGATGTTGTTTGATATCAGGTACTATCATAGTAACCCATTACGGTTAGTATCTGACGCTGTGTGATACCAGATACTAACATAGCAGAGTCAGTGAGGCTAGTATATGATGTTGTGTGATACCAGATACTAGTATAGCAGAGTCATTGTCTGCATTCAGGTCGTGTATGTATCTACTGCTTAGGACTCAATCTTTGGTATTCTTGCATTTATGAATTCTTATGCTACTCTAGATTAGTGATTATACTACTGGGTTTTGTAAGCTCAGCCTTCATATGTTTCAGTGGACAGGTTAGTAGCTGAGTAGCTCGTGGAGCACCATCATGGCTAGACTTCCAACATCCTCTTTAGAGTACTGTATGGTAGTTTTAGAGGGCATGCATATTCAGGGGACCTTACTTATGTATCCAGATTTTTAAAGAAAGAGTTTGTATTATTTTTATCTTCTCCGGTTTTTGTAAAATGTTTTATAAAATGTTTTTATATATGATATGTATGATTTTAATTATGATATCACTGTGTATATTTTCAAAATAGTATGAACAAATCTTTTAAGCAGTGCCTCGATAGCTCAATGTGACACTATAGACCCAATCAAATCTAGGATGTTAGATAATTATTATTATTTTCAAAATCATATTTAATATTTTATTTTGATTTTGTTTTAATTATGGTTTAAAACCTAAACTTGCTTATTATTTTCATAGCTCAAGGAGACAACTCTGATATCCAGCTGGGTATGGTGTTTTCGTTAAAAGATTTCTCTTTTTTATTTTGTGTTCTATTTGTTCATTTAAAAAAAAATGTAATGCATATACAAAAAAGAAATTAGTATATACTACGGGGTAGGTTCAAATGATAAACAATTTAATATTACTTAAGTAAAGTCTCAGGTTCAAGTTATTGTGTATGTATAAAATCCATGTTGGGAGACTCACCCACTAAAATCAGGTGTACGACCCAGATTGATTTAGATTAGTCAATGCGAAGCCTTGGAACTGGATAACAAAAAAATAGTATATGTTTAAAGATTTTTAAGACTCAATCATTTGACAATAAGTATTTATATCCCTTATATGTGCGGAATTCGAACCTAAAATACGAAGAAATAACAAATAATCTCTTATCTAAGGTTGCTTGGCTAATAAAAATATTAAAGCCATACTTGACAATAATAATAAAGTTAATAAACAGCATGTTTCACTGTCATTTATACCGGTGGGCGTAGCCATGTCAGTTATAAGTGCCAAGCTAGCCTCTTTGTGCTCTTCCCGTTCAATTTTCAACTGGATTTTTTTTAAAAATCAAATATAAAGCCACCAAACAGACGCAGCAGAGAAGAAAGCAAAGGAAACAGTCATAGCTGCCGGTGCTCACAGCAGCAAAACAGAGAGAGATCTTCAATTTTGCAAATGGAAGCACTCAATTGCAAGCTTGTTTTGATCTGCGCGACGCTCATAGCGGCGGCGGCGGCAATAACCGTCGATGCGAGTGGGGACCACCAGCAACACCAGATCCTGGAGTGGATACCCACCGGATCGCCATGCAAGGGCTCCGTAGCCGAGTGCTTAGCCGGGGAAGAGTTCGAGCTGGACTCCGAGAGCGGCCGGCGCATATTAGCTACCACAAGGTACATCAGCTACGGCGCGCTGCAGAGAAACACCGTGCCTTGCTCCCGGCGCGGTGCTTCCTACTACAACTGCCAGCCCGGAGCTCAGGCCAACCCTTACAACCGTGGCTGCAGCCGTATTACAAGGTGCAGGAGCTGAGCTCTATTCTTCTTCTAATTTTGATTCCCCCCCCCCCCCCCACCTATTTAACATCATTTTGGATGATTGAGCGTTTGATTGATATACATGAAGAAAATGAAAGAGTTCATTGGTGGGCAGTGCATCTAGTAATGGGTCTTTCTTGTTATTGACGAAAATATTATTATCATAATTTTATTTTAATTTTGCCATATCTCCGTAAAAGATTATTGTTACCTGTTTTCTCTTGCTCACAACATCTCTTAGCTTCTATTTTATTTTGGTTCAAATTTCAATTTAATCCTAAAATATACATATTTTCTACTTTAATTCAATGTATGGTTAGAGAAAGGAAAACACATTATTGTACCATGAGAGTTTTAGAGGTATATTTTGCCATATTCCCATATGTAATGGAGGTATGGGGGAGGTAGATAGTAGGCTGCCTCCAACGCCTGGTTAAGAGCAGCTTCCGTGGAAGACCTCCAGCAGTTAGAATAATGAATTGCCCACGGTGGGGCTCGATTCCACGACCACAAGGTTAAGAGCCTTGCACTCTACCAACTGAGCTACACAGACAATTTATTTATTTATTTAGAGAAATATGATATTTTTATTAATTTTTATCGTGTCGGAGTTACAAGTTTCAATAAAAAGATATTTTTAGAACTTATTATCTCGACGCAATTTATTCCAAGTCACTGTAACAAAAATCGTAATTCCCAAAATAAAAAATCTGATACCGTATTAAGCTAAATAATTAACTTGCATACAGTATTGGACCAAAATTGCCCTATACTCCCCTTATAGCCCAAAATTCACCAGTCTTACACACCCTTGTATCAGTTCTAACAGAGCAGCACTTTGAAAATTTTGGGCAGAAAAAATTTAGGATAAATTATATAACAAATCACTCGATTATTAATAATATTTTATCTATACATTTTATTCGATTATGTCGTTTATTATTAATTTTAGAATAAATTACATCACAACTCACTCAGTTATTATTAAAAGTATAAATCATTCAATTTTAGAACTTATAAACGAGCCAATCAATTTTTTTTGTCATAAACATATCATTGGACTGTTTAAAATGAAATAGATGTTAGAATGTGTCCTTAGAAAACAATTTTTAATAATTTTTTAATTGGGTAAATTGCATCACAAATCACTCAATTATTAATAAGATTACAAATTACTCATCCAATTTCAAAAAGTCATAAACCTCAAATGAGTCTATTAATAAATAAAAATCAGAAAATGAAACTCATTTTAGGTTATGGGATCTCAAAGATCATAGGTTCCATTCGACGGTTCGACCAGTGGAAAAGTTATCGTTGGTGAGAAAAATAACATATCTTGAAACGAAGTCCATCCGATGTTAGACGACATAGATCAAGGTTCAAGAACTTCGAAAGTTTAAAGGTGACGTCATGACTTTTAAGCGATATTATTGAGAATCTAACATGATGAATTGAAAATAAGATATTAAGTTGAATCTTATGGTCAAATCTAGAGTTTATCAACTATTATATACGACGATCGATGATACAGTGATACACGATATATATAATTGCTACAATCAATTAAACAAAAGTGACTTAATTGTAACTCTTTAAATTTTAATATTTTTAATGTATAAAACATTTCATGTCAGAAAGCAATATGATTATTTTTTAACAATTACTACAAAACGTAGCATATTCGATTTTAACACATTGTAATACCCCAAAATTTTGACAAGTAATCAAAACAAAAAAAAAATTAAAAGTTTTGTTGCCAAAGTAGAAACTTTGGAAAGCTTCAAGAACCAAAGTGGTAATTTTATCAAAAAAATTATTCTATAAATGAATAGTTTTTTTTTCATAAATGGATATTTCATTTTTAAGTATGGAGTTTGTATGAAATTCAAATTTTGATATGAAATTTGTGTAAAAAGCTATTAAGCGATAAAATTTAGTAAAATATTTGGATAATCGGATCGAAATATGAATTCCATAAAAACTGCATTCTTAAAAATGAACTATTTGATAAAATTTTGGAAAAATTACTACTTTGGTCCTTGTACTTTTTCCAATTTTTTACTTCGAGCGTAAAATTTTCATTTTGATCACTTTTCAAAATTTTGGAGTATTAAACATATTATGGAAAAACCTATCGAAACGTACACAATCAACATAAATTATCATTCAAAGTGCTCTAATAGAGTCAATGAACATAGTTACCACAAATACGCATACCAACTCACATAATAAAAATCAAAATATATATCGTCAATCACAAAGGCTTGATTATGATTATATTTATCTTATCCGAACTTAAAGAATACCTCATATCAATGAATTAGTGAAAATTTTTACATTTTCCTTTAACTTTGGATGTTTCTACATTTTTCTAAAAAAAATTAAACCCTAAACCTCAAATTATAAACACTAAACTCAAAACCCTAAAACCTAAAGCTTAAATTATAAACCCTAAATCCGAAACTTTAAGCTTAAAGAGAAAAATGTTATTTTACTGTAAGTTAAATAAATTTATGAGTCATAAAGATTCATTAAATCTAAACCATCTATTTATTTAGATCCAATGGTTATAAATCTGTGTAAAATTCTTTTGTTTTACATTGTGCAAGTGTATACTGTCCCATATATATATATATTTGAAACTTTTAATAACATTTTAATATTAGTAATTTTCTTACTTTTTCTATTTAAAAAACGTAGTAATATCTCAATATTTAATTTTTACTTGAAAATAAATAAATAAATCATGAATTTGAAAGAAAAAAGGTGAATAAACCATCGAGCGATCCACACAAATAATTTTTTTCTTTTATCGTATCATTATTCACATATAAATTATTACGTCAATATGAAAAAAAAATTTAAGTCGAATACAAAATTAAAATATCATATAATATATTATTTCAGTATATATATATATATATATATATATATATATTGAACATTATTATATTTTTAATATAGCACATAAAGGACAACTCCCCACGAAACATTTTAACGATGCTTTCTAAATTTCATTCGAAACAACCGTAGGTTCTAGAAGTTCATGCTCAATCCGTGACACCCAAATCTATGGTCTAGGGTTAGTTAATCTGACGTCATTTTTAATAACGTACTTACTTGGCCCTTAAGGACCCTCCAAATTCAAAACGCCCCGGCCGCAACCGCACCTCCCCCAACGAAACCGACGCGTTTACTTCACCGCTTTTTCATACCCACCGCCCAACTTCACCTGCCCTATAAAACCACCCCGTTTTCCACTCCTTTTCTCTCACAAATTCAACGCCGAAAAAACCTACAAATCAATTGAATCTCTGCCCCCAAATTCTTCTTCTCTGTAAGGAAGAAAAAGCTGAAGTTTCTTTGCGTTTTAATGGCTCAAGGAGACAATTCCGATATCCAGCAGGAAATGGTATTTTTCATTATAGGATTTCTCCTCCTTTTTTGGATCTTGAAAATTGATTTTTGTTTTTGATTTCGATTTGAAAGGCTAAAGAGGAAGAACAACAGAGGCTGAAATACTTGGAATTCGTGCAAGTCGCCGCCATCCACGCTGCCTTGTCCTTCACCAGCCTTTACCTTTACGCTAAGGAAAGATCGGGACCGTTGAAGCCTGGCGTCGAGACGGTCGAGGGGACCGTTAAGAACGTGGTCCGGCCGGTTTACGATAAGTATCGTGACGTCCCTGTTGAGCTTCTTAAATTCGTTGATGCCAAGGTACTAATCTCTCTGTTTCAATCCATTTATGCAAAAACTCGAAAGGATTCAAATTCGAGTATTAAACTTGAAATGATCTGAATCGCGAAGTATTATGATTTGTAATAATTTAAATTTAAATCTGGATTTTATTGCCAATTTATAAAATCCCTAATTTAGGGATGCAAATAAATTATTGGGTAAATTATATTTTGAGTACTTAAATTATTCATTTTGATATGTTTTAATACTTAAATTTTTAATTTTTTAAAATCATATATAAAATTTAGTTTTTATTTATTTTAATATATACGGTTAAAAATTTTAGTTTTTGCTTTATTTTAGTATATATTCAAAATTTAATGTTGACGTTTGAAAAAAATTAAAAATTTAGATATTAAAATATGTCAAAATTAATATTTTAAGTATTAAATAAGTTAATTTTTAACGAAATCAAGTATGATTTAAAAAAAATAATTTAAATACTAAAATAAACTAGAATTATTGTTTAGTTATGTGAAGTTTACCCTAAATTATTTATAAAAAATTGTAAAAATATATAAATTATACAGAATTTGAAACATTTTATAGATATCGATCAGTCTACCAGCCTCTGGGACCATCTTTGATGGAAAGCGCAAGAAAAAATAGTTCCAAAGATTGATTATTTGTTGTTATTACAGGTTGATGAATCTGTCACCAAGCTAGATAGTCGAGTCCCACCAGTCATCAGGCAGATGTCAACCAAAGCCGTCTCCGCCGCCCAAAAGGCTCCGGCGGTGGCTTCCGATGTCCACCGTGACGGAGTGGTGAACACCGCCTCGGAATACGCAAAATCCGTGTACACCAAGTATGAACCCACAGCGAAGGAGCTTTATGCTAAGTATGAACCCAAGGCTGAACAATGTGCCGTCTCGACTTGGCGTACGCTCAATAAACTCCCCCTCTTCCCTCGAGTCGCCTCGGTAGTCGTCCCGACGGCCGCTTATTGCACCGATAAGTATAACCAGACGGTGGTTATCGGAGCGGAGAAAGGGTATAAAGTGGTCTCGTATTTGCCCCTGGTTCCTACCGAGAAGATTGCCAAGGTCTTCGGTGAGCAGAAGCCTGAAACGGAGCCATTGGAGCCGGTGGCATCCGCCAGTTGATTTTGATTTGAATCTGTTTATGGGGTTATATATATAATCTGGATTTGTTTTATGCTTTTAGCTGGTGGCTTTTGTGATCTGGATTAAACTATCTATGGATTTTTATTTTATGCTTTGTACTTATCCTAGATAAATTAAAAAAAATAAAATTAATCTATTAATTAATAATTTTTTTGAGTTATTTAAGTTTTATTTTATAATTATATTTTAATCGAATAAAATAAAAAAAATAAATTTTTGGGATGGCTTACACAATCCGGCCTCCAGTTTCTTCTCAATCTGTTCGTGGACCAAAGACCGTGAGGCTCAGTTGCTGCTGCCGCGCTTTCTCCGCCAGAAACGCCGCTGAAATCCAAATTCCTCCAATAAACCCCAAGGATCCGTTTCTTTCGAAGTTCGCTTCCGTTGCCGCCTCTTCCCCGGAGACGATTCTTAACCGTGCGGTGAATCCCAATACGCCGCCGTATTTGGATTATGTTAGAGTTTTGAGATGATCATTGTGTGCAGTATTGCATTGTGATTTGTAACTTGTTCAACCAATTTAACTGTCCTTTTATCTGTCAGCTTGTGCCTGCGGTGCCCGACCTTGTAGTCGCGGAACTAATGTATCTTCAATGGATGGACCCCCAAACAACCGATGTATCTTTACATAAATTTTACCGGAACAACTCGTGATGTCGGTGAAACGATGTGCTTTGCATAGAGAGATGTTATGCGTTTGTATCACATATCTTTTGGAGTTGTTATAATTGTATGGTATATCTTTTAAAGCAAGAAGTAAGCCAAGTTGGGTTGAAAGTTGGATTTGGGTAGTTTTTTCTGTAGATTCAATGCACGATCTCGTGTAAAAACGAAACTATGAGATAAACCCGAATAGCCTCTAATCTTTTGACAGTTCCATCTTCTTCCTTGGTGGAGCTTCTTCAGCTTGTTATTCACACTTGTATTATGTTCCCTTCTTGTATGTGCATGCGTTTTGTTCTCTTCAGGGTTGATATTCATATAATTTAGAAGCGGTTATGCTACATGTTGGAAGTGAGACCGAGGGTTTCGCCATTTATGACGCACTTATGCAGTTACACAATGGGGTAAAATTCGGTTCTTCAACGATATCGAATTGCCCTGTTCTCTATAGTTCAATAATAATATTTAGTCTTTCTCTGCATGTCTCTTGAGCTTTTTCCTATTTGAAAGAAAATCGAGGATGAGATGATCTACTAGTTAACTTTTCTCGGGTCTTGGTAACCCGTGTTCATAAAGGTATATACAGTTGCTGTGGGGGCAGCTATAGGTCAGGCCTGCCCTGCTGGAACTAAGGGTCATCGTTTCATGATGCCTCATGCCAAAGGTATGTTTCGGTGCTCGTCTGCGATTATAAACTTTTTATTGACTCTGTCCTTGGTGCTTACTCGTATTCTGTTTCAGCTATGATCCAACAACATTGTGCCCCATCATCTGGCTTGATGTCTGCAAGTGATGTTCTTATACGTACCAAATAGGTTTGGTCCTCAGCTCCTCTTTGAAGCTTTAGTAGCCTTATTTTTCGAGTTTCCAACTTATAAATCCAATCTGTATTACGAATCCCTCAGACTGCATCTTTGTTTTGCAGGCAATAACAAACAGGGACACACTGGAAATGTGAGTGTAATGAATGACTTTTTAGCTGTTATATGCAAAATTGTGTAAACCAAAGGTACTCCATTGACATTGTATGACTATATTTCATTAGTCTGCGGAGACAGTAGCCAATGTGATGAAAAGACCATTTTATATGGATGCCAACAGAGCTAAAGAGTTCGGGGTCATTGACGAGGTAAGCACACTTACAAGTAAAATTCTCCATACTTGATCTTTCGTACGTATACGAGACGTCCGTTTGGGTGCAAACCCTTTGGTGATGGCAGAAGTTGCCCCTCCTGAAGAGTGGGACAAGAATGCTGGCATCAAAGTCATGGATGGATTTTAGTCTCTTCCCCGAATCGTGCTCTCCGACACACCTCCCGGATCAAGGCATTGATCTCTGACAGATCTGGGTCTGTTGACGATAACTTCTCAATCACCGTCCACGCATCTCCTTCCAAGACCACCCCTGACCACGGTTCCCTTTATTCTTTCAAGAATTTTGCATCAAAATTGAGATTAGTTGTCGGCATCGGAGGGAGTTTTCAGCACGTCAAAGACAGGGCCGTGATTATGAGTATTTTTAATTTAATAAAACTAACCATTTCTATTGAATATAAAACTAACTAGTTGGTCTAGTGGGATGAGACATTAAGTCCCTTAAACAAGATCAAGGGTTCGAATCTTGATGTTTGCGAATGAAGCAAATTAGGTTAGGAGGGTTGTCCTCGCCTTTGCAGTACTTGATCTTTATTAATCGGTCTATAAATCAAATTTCAGTGATTAATTCAAAAAAAAATATCATCGTATGTGAATATAATGCATGTATTTAATTAATGATTTATTCTACTTTAAATCTCATTACTAGTGATTGTTTTTCATTCTTCGTCTCTCTTATTTTTTTTCGTTCTTTATAATTTGTATTAATTTTATTGATCAATTTAATTTTTTTTTAATTTTATTTAATCACCGACAACATCAATTTTGATGTTGGATGCCGTCTGTCAGTTATCTTTTTTTCACTTTTAATAAGAATAATTATATCTTTGTGACATGTTCTCTATTTATATAGTACATTTATCACAGTCTTTATAATATGGTTTTCTCTGTTTTTTGATAGTTTAAGATTTTTTTGCCCTTTTTTAAATCTTTTTTCTCAGGGTTGATTTGACATCACCACGACTGATCAAGATGGCGCTTATTTGTTATCACGACTATCTTTCCTGCTTTGGACTCTCGAATTGATTTGGATACGCGTTTTGCGTTCGTGGATAATTTTCCCACATCGCTTGACTCTGATTTACGATTTGTCGGCGACCTTCAGTAATTTCATCTCCTTTTGTGGTTTGTTTGTCAATGCAGTAAAATTTGTTCGTTTCTTTATTTTGTTCGAGCATTGGTTAGGTTTTTTAACCTTTTCCTTTAATGATTTTTGTGTGATTTATGTAACTAGTTTTTGTGTATTTTTTATAGAAAAATGTCCTAATTGTAATTTATTTTACGTTTACGGTTATACTTATAAATCTTCATTATAATTATGTATATTTTATGTTTTTAATAAAATTAACGACTTTTTATATAATTTTTTAAAAAAAATATATGTTTCTCTTGTTAAATAAAGAATTTCTTTTTACATTTTAACATGAAATCATGTGCACTATTTAAAAGGAAAACGTTTTTTTTTTTTTTGAATTTCAAATTTAAATTTGAGTCAACAAAACTAATTTATAGATAAGATTAAGACGTGAAATAATATAAAAAGAATAAATAAACAAAGACAAAGAGAAAGTTGTTATATATTTTTGGTAAATTACGAGTTTAGTACTTAAGCTATCAATTTTGATCTATTTTAATATTTAAACTTTCATATTTTTTTAAAATTATGTCTAATATTTAATTTTTGTTTCATTTTAAATACATCATCATCACTGTTAAAAACTTAACGGATGGGTTCATCGGTCATCGCGTCTACAATCATCGACTGTCGTTTCTATCAATTGATGCGGCCAAAATTTTCATCTCGTACCTTTTTGACCCCTGACCGTTATTCAGGTCGTTTCACGGGGAAACGTCTCAACCTCCCTAAATCGACAATGAACTCTTCAATTTCTTTATCCTCCAATCTTCATGGTCCACATCCGATGGGTCTAAAGTTGAATTATATTTGTCAACTCGTCATTCTCTCGTGATCAACTGATCGGATTGGTTGTTTGTCCACCAGAGTTATACCACGTCAGTCCGTTTGTTAAGTTTTTAATAAAAAAATATTAAAATTAAAAAAATAAATGTTAAGTATGATTTTAAAAAAATGAAAATTTATGTATCAAAACTAATAGTTTAGATACTAAATGCGTAGTTTATCCTATATTTTTAGTCAACGTAAAGCAATCAAAACCGTAAAAAAAGTTAGAAAAGAATCTGAGCCGTAGGATGGTTATCATTCGGACACATTACTTCGTCATTTTAAATGATAAAATACAAAGAAAATGCTGGTGTGGTATTGAAAAGAAAGAAAAAAGCGAAAAGAAGAAAACTTCATTTCATTTCTCATTTCGTTCAAAAATCATAACTTCCTTTTTAAGTCTAATTTATCTGTCTTTCTTTTGGTCGATATCAAATAATTTAAGAAGACGAGTAATTTTTGTTTTTTGTTTTTAAATAATTTAATCCGATTGAAATCGGCGGACCTGTAGGGAAAATTAGAGGAGGAGGAGGAGGGTGGTTTTAATTTAGGAAAAAGTTTAGGTTTTGGTATTTTTGGGTGGGTTAATTTGAAGTTTTTTTTAAAGTTTATACTGATATAAATTATGGGATTAGGGAGTAATTATGAGGATGATGTTGTGGTGGATGACGGTAATGAGGGCGGTGGTGGTGCTGGCTGCGGTGGTGTTGATTGCGGCAATGGAGGAAAGTCTTTCGGTTCTGTTTCATGCTCGATTTGCCTCGAAACGGTTACCGATAGTGGAGATCGGTCGTGGGCTAAGCTTCAATGCGGTCACCGGTTTCATTTGGGTAAGTAAAAATTGATTAGATTTGGAACTGGTTTACTCAAAGAATTTGTAGATTTTTGTAGATTATATTAGTAACAGGGAATCATAGTACAAGGGAAAATTTTTCTATGTGCTTTTAGATTTGCCTGTTTTATTAGCTGTACTAAATGATTTTGTTTAGCTGCGATTCTGGAGATGGATGCTAGTTGAATGTCGATGATTCGAGACTTGGTTGTTGTATATTATATTTGTTGGTTTGGTTGGTATATAGCTTTAGGAAATGATTTTTAGAATCTATATTAAACGTTTGAATTCACCAGCACATATTTTGTAATGGTTGTCTTCAGATTGTATCGGTTCGGCATTCAATATAAAGGGTTCGATGCAATGCCCTAATTGTAGAAAAATCGAGACAGGTCAATGGCTTTATGCCAATGGTGGCCGTACATATCCAGAGTTTAATGTCGATGATTGGACACATGATGAGGACCTTTATGATCTAAGTCTCTCTGAAATGGTAATGGAGCAATATTTCTATGCATTTTCAACATTTTTGCAAACCAAAATGGTTTTGACCTTTGATGGCCATAATTTTTTGCATCTAGATATGCCTAACATTTTCATCCTTACCCTCCCAGCCCTGTCACTTCAAATGATATTTCATTGATTTATTTAGAGAGAGAATTTGGATTTTTAAGGCTCTTAGTTAACGAACCGAATTTCTTTCAGTAAACCTGTCAAATTTTCAAATTTAACAGATTATAGTTTAAATTTCACTGCTATGTACCGCTTTGCAAACTTATACAATCACATTTCCTTGCTTTTGCTTTATCTGGCTCTATATATGCACGCATTTTCTGACATATGAGTCGAACTAAATTCTACCCCCAACTTATTTTGGTTTTTTTTATTGTTTTTGAAGTCATTTGGTGTTCACTGGTGTCCATTTGGAAGCTTAGCAAGACTTCCTTCATTCGAGTAAGTATGACCTCACTTATTAGAGGCTAAGCCTGAGTAGTTTTCTGCTTCGATTTTCTATGCTGAATTGTGCTTTTCAGCCGTCTCTCCATTGACATAAAATATTTGTGCATATTTTTGCATGCTTTCTCGGATGGATCATTGAGATAAATAATGGCAAGAGAGAGTGAGAGAGTGTTTGGTAGAAAGTTAATATCTTCTTAATTAGAAATAGGTTTAGAACTTTCAGACCAGTTCTGTATGAGATGCAACAAATGAGTATCGTGAGTTTCATTTATTAGAGGTGTTAGTCACCAGACTCATTTTGGGGTGGAAGTATTTCCTTAGATTTATGGAGCATTGTATCTCGGTAAAACTATAGTTAATTTTTTGCTGAATAGGACGTTACGGCATTCTTATTGTTCTATGTTGAAAAAGGTTGTCGTGGTATATTATTATTGACTCTCCTTAGGTAATTGTTATCCTTTCATTTCCTTTTGCTTAGTTCTTTTTCCTTGTTGATGTTCAATTGTTCCTTTTTTTACAGGGAAGGGGAGTTATCTTCAACCACATGTAAGATCTTTTCTTGTTTTGCAAGTAATGTTTCTGTGGTGGAGATTGTTTAATCTGATATGCTGATATGGGTTATGTTGGAATGCAGATCATGAGTTACTGGGACAGAATGCCATCTTTCCCGAACATTCGGCACCCACTGCTCATCCATGTCCATGTTTACCTTACTTTGGGCCAACCGTTCATCCGTCATCGTCAAATTCCAGAAGTGTTTCAGATAGTTCTAGTTTCAACAACCCCTGGACTCCATCAGTGCCTGGTGAGGTACCTACATCTTATGCTTTTCCTGCAGTGGATCTCCATTACCATAATTGGGAGGATCATTCCCCGCCATTTTCAACATTTAACGGTAGAATCAGTAGTTCCGATCAACCTTCAAATCCTCCTGTCAGTCATAGGTCAGCCAGGAGTAGTTCCGATATGCCAAGATTGGGATCTTTTACGAGTCCATTTGTTGTTGGCCACAGGTATTTTACCATTTCTGATTGGATTGAGTTATTACTGAAATATTTACCATAGTCTAGGAAACTCCAATGAACTGGTTTTATTGAGACATACTGAACATCCCCTCCCCTCTCGATAAATGGTCAACTGCTTCGGAATTTTAGCTTTAAAATCCGATTACTTGTAGCTAGAAAGTCACATTTTTTGAGTATACAGACATGGTTTAGAATCGGTTTTATAATTTCTCCTTTGCTGTGTTTCCACAGTTCCGGTGCTAGAGCAGGAAGTTCGGTGGCTTCTTCATTGATCCCTCCTTACCCTGGTAGCAACGCCCGGGCACGCAATCGAGTTCAAGCCCTCCAGGCATACTATCAACCACAATATCCAAACACCTCTCCACCAATGCGGACACCCATTATTTCTGGCTCCCGAAGGTCAAGCAATCACAGAGTTAATGCCCAAGTTGGGCCAGTGGCCTCAACATCTGATCAGATGGGTGGGTTCTATTTCGTTCCACCGGGTACTCCGGCCCCTAACTTTCTAGATACCGAAAACCCTCATTCGACTCAGTTCCATGCTTCGGAAAGAGATCATTTGCCTTCATTTTCAATAAACCAGGTCGACCGAGATTCAGGTTGGGGTTCATTCCATCAGTTCGCCGTCGCATCCGATCCTAGCATAAGATCCAGCAGCTTCCGCCGGTGGCATGGTCCTGAGAGGACTTCATCTCATAACCAGTCATAGTATCTCTTCCTTTTATAAGTTTTTGGGTGAAACAAACTCTCTCTCCACCATGAATGAATCCAAAAAACTTATATATGCTTAAGAGACGATATATGTTTCGCTCGAGTCTGCTCAAAGTGAAGAAAAAAACTGTGAAAGTGACCCAAAAACGATATATATGGTGACCGCAGGCGGTGTGCTGGACATGGGTTCGTTTTGAGCATATAAAATATTTTCTTATTATTTTTACTTTTAAAATAACGTAAGGACTAGTATATATTTTTTGGTAGAGAATACTGATATCTGATTTATTGATCGATTAATTCGGATCGAGTATTGCGGAAGCAAGGTTGATATTTTAAATCTATTTTGCTCCATTCGTAATCGTCAATGTTTGAATCATTAACTTTGTTTAATGAATCTAGTGTTTTATCTTACTATAGTTGGTTAGGGATTAATATAGTTAAACTAAAGAATTACCATTTGATCTATTGACAATGTATAACTTTTATAGTATAAGTAAATTAAGTAAAATAAATTAAATGATAATATATCATTATAAATTTTTATAATTAAATTTTAGAAAATTTTACAGCGACGAACATCATTAATTTAATTTATAAAAAAAATAAATTCTAAATGATTCAACGTATAATTATAAATTAGTTAAATATTTAAAGATAAATTATTTAAAATAAAGGGTAATTATACCAGTGATCGTTTAACTGTTGCTCTTTTTTTATTTTGACCAATATTTTTGAAATTTTGTTAATTAGGTCACTCAACTATTTAAATGCATTCAATTAAGTCACTTGTCGTTAATATTTAACGGAGAAGATGATGTGTCAGTTAAAATATTTTGTATAATTACATATTTGGTCACTGTTACTTATATATTCTATCAATTTGGTCATAATTTTAATAAATTAAAATAAACTTAACCCTCAAGTATTTAATTTTAAAAGATTTTAAAAGTTACCCCATATTCTATATTTATAAAAGTTACGACATTCATTCTTGATCTTGCAGTATTATCTAATTCATCAAGTGTGCATAAAATTGAAGAAGTGTAAATTAAATCTTTACTTACGTAACTTCTAGCTTGTTTCTGTTTTGGTCATTTAATTATGGTTTCTTTTAATTTGATCATTAAAGTTTCTATAATGTTATTTTTATTTGGTAATTTTATGTAAAAACTTTTTGATTTTTTCTCAAATCCAGATTTTCGGACTTTCTATGATTCATTAGTGTTAAAAGTATTTTTTTATCTAAATCTAAAAAATAGGAGGTCAAGAAAGAAGAAAAAATTAATATAGAGAGTTTTTTTGCTGAGTCATTTGATCATAAAAAGTTACCAAATAATCACTCGACTTAACATTATGTTTCAAACTTGTTTTTTTCTGTTAAAAAATTAACGACAGTTTGAGTTGGACATTAATTTAGTGACTAAAATATGATAAAGTATGTTCTCATAATTTCAAACGACTATTTTATCTCAGTTAACATATTAACATCTAGCTCGGACGACCGTTAATTTTTTAACGAAAAAGACGAATTTAAAATACAACGAATAATCGAATAACAAGATTATAACTTATAATAATAAAAGAATTCAATAAAATAATGAGGGCCAATTATATTGCTCAAAGTTTCCAATTTATGGTAATTTTTCCAACAAATAGTGAGGGCCAAAACATCATTTCCAAATACATAATTTCTAGGTTTTTAATGCAAATCGCAACTCATAAGTTAAATGTTCCATCGCATCAGACACGATATTTTCAACACTTGGCCGATTCCAACGTCGGATCCTCCATAGCCGGATCTGTGTTTGTTATCCAACAAAACATTAAGTGGTTGTTGCATGGAGGAATGGGAATAATGAAGACAATAAGGTATTCATCAATTTCATTTTTTATACCGAACTCATCATTAAGATCATACGGTATGGGAAAAGATTGGCATAACTTGGCAAAGAAAAGGGAAGCAAGCAGTTGGTTCTTCCTCTAAAGCAGCTCGGCCTCAGGACGATGATGTGATGCATAATATCGACGATCTCGTGAATCGCATTCCTGACGATCCTGCTCGAGTCAGTGGTGAGGATGCGGGTGTGATTCCTCCTTACTTTCATATGTTCATGGAGACAATGGACTTACGATTCGCTATCGTTGAGTCTCACTTCTCTGCTTTGGTGACTCAAGTTTCTGAGATTGTTGCTCGACAATTGTCATTGGAGGTGATGCACGTGGACTCCCGACGTGATTTACTCGCTAGATTCGACACGGTGACAGATATGATTGATGTTATTTCTTGTGACTTAACTTCTTTCCGCGCTCCATCTTCATATGATGATCCCCATTCGTTAGATGCATACTTTTCTTATAGATTGCTTGTTATTTGCTCATGTTTGGTCTTGCATTTAGATATTTTTATTTCTTTTGGATATTTGGATGCTTTTATGGGTATCTATGCTATTTTGATGATTATTATGGTTTATGATATTTGAGTCATGCTTATTTTTTAAAGGCTTAAATTTATCATTATCCCCCTAAACTATGATATTTGTACCGAGTTGCCCCTAAAAGTATTTTTCGAGATATTTTGTCTCCTAAAGTTTAAATCGTTTCCTCGTTTGTCCCAAACCGTTAACTCTGTTAAAAATAACATGGGTAAATTGCATATTTAGTGACTCAACTATTTTTACGATTTTGTTTTCGTCACCTCATTATTTTTTTCTTACAAAATAATCATTAAACTTAAGTTTTTATTTAGAAAAAGAAAAAGACGATGAATATAATTTAGAAGGGTTATTTCTTTTTTTCACAAGATAAATTCAATTATGTAATAACTACTCATGTGTTTACAAATTTACCTACGTTAGATATGATGGTAGGTCGATGGCTGGACAATATTAATACAACACTAAAACTCTGATAACATTTTTAATTTTAGGGACTAATTTAAAATCTAATTCATAGTTTGAGGATGTCCCACTGAATTAATCCCTTTCAATTTCTCACGTCATACTTGTATACGACTTAATGATCACTGGGGACTGATTGAATAGGCAAAACTAGATGGATTCAATCTTCATTACCATTCGAAACATACAAAATCGATTGGGATGTTAATGGAAGAAACGAAAAGAAGGGGAAGAACGTGGCAAGAAATATAAGAGCAATTGCAGAAATTGCAATATTTATGATATTTTAATTTAGCATTTAAGTTTTCTCTCATTAAAATTTCAAGTACAAACAACTTAATCTGTTGTTCATTATTTACGTTATAATATTATTTATTATTATAAATTAAATTTATGTGTCGAGTAAAAGATATGTGATATAAATGAATTATTATATGTTACAAATTTAAAAGATTTACCCATGTTGTTTTAACAGAGTTAATTGTTTGGGGCAAACAAAGTAAAGATTTAAACTTCAGGGGGCAAAACTTCCCGAAAAAATACTTTAGGGGACAACTCGATAGAAATGACATAGTTTAGGAGTAATGGTGCTTTTAAGTTTTTTTTTTTAAATTATGACCATATTTATTGCTCAAGGATATATTTATATTGACTAATTTGTTTTTGGCAAATTTGATCTTGTTTTACCTTTTTATTTAACAAAAAGGAGAGAAATGTTAGAGTAAGGGGAGCATTTATTTTTAAGAAAATCTTTAAAATGTTAAATTTTTTAAAAGGTTTTATTATTTCAAAAAGGTGAGATTGTTGAACTATGCTTTGATATTTTGATATATCGAAAATTAATATTTTTAAAGAATTTTTAAAGAAATTTTAAAGTTTTTATTCGATTTTCAAGTTTATATTGAATTCAATCGTTCTAATATAGAAATTCTTTTTTAAGGTAAAAAATCGAGTGGTACTGATACTGTAAGAAATTCTTTTTAAGGTCAAAAATCAATTTTTAACCCTGTAGTACGATACTATTTATTTGGTACCGATATTGTTAATGTGGTATCGATATTAGTATTGATACTATTGGCCTAAAAATACTCAGTGGTACCAATACTCTGAATAGGAGTACTAATACTCCCTTTGTGATTTTGGCAAACACAAATTCCAAAAGCCTATTTTGGCACTGATATTGTGCAAGTATCGATACTTAAGTTGGAGTACCGATACCCCCCTCTCTCAACGATCAAATTTTTTGTATTTAATGCAGATAGTACCGATACTCTAAGCACGAATATCGATACTTAAGGAGTCTGGACAACATTTATTGCGAGAAATATCTTCCCAATGGCTCTAATTGAATGAAGATGTATGAAAACAAGATTCTAAGTCATATGTGAAGATAAGAGATCAAAGAGAAAGCCAAAGCAATCACATTGGGCCAAAAATCAAAGTTAACATTCTTTAATATTCCTTTTGTTTTCAAAGAACACTTTTGTACTCATTTGTTTTATTTGTCAAGTGTTTTCAATTGTTCTTGAATTGTGCTAATAATTTCCTTGTGAGGCCTTTCTATGTTTGCAAATTTGTAATTTCTTCTTTGAGAGAGTGTCTCAAGAATTTGAGGTATGATTCTTGAGGGAGTTGTAAGTTTACGCCTTGTCCTCAAAGGTTGATATGAATTAGCGAATTTGTGAAAATCCTTAGTTTGGATAGCTAAGGTTGTGAATGTAGACTTTGGTTTAGAAAGTCGAACCACTCTAAAAATCTTGTGCTCATTTTTCAATTTCCCTTAAGCTTCCACTAAATTTTTTATTTGACAATTCGCCTTCCTCTTGGCTATTTCATGCTCTTGATTGACTCAAGAATTTGCATCCCAATGCCTATTAGCTAAGAAAAAAGATAGGACTTGACGATTTTGTGTTGACTATAGACAACTCAGCAACTTGATTGTTAAAAACAAGTTCCCTGTACGTGTGGTTGAAGATCTCTTGGATGAATTATCAGGAGCCACATATTTCTCTAAAATTGACTTTCGATTCAATTACTGGCAAATTCGAATTACGGAAGAGAACATACCTATGACTACATTTCAGACACACCACGAGCATTTTGAGTTTTAGGTGATGTCCTTTGGCCTCACTAACGCCCCTGCAACTTTTCAATCATTAATGAATGATTTATTCTGTACATTCTTAAGGAAGTTTGTCTTGGTATTTTT